ACATAGAGCCAAGTTAAAAGGTAAAATAAAGACAAACTTTTTGGCGAGCCAATATAAATGAGGTTTTAGAGATGCTTGGAGTGATTTTAGCTAGTTGTTATACTAAAAAGAAATTGTAAAATATCAAAGTGGACTTACTTAAAAGGGAACAAAGAAAGGGGTTAGCGTGCCTATCAAAACTCTCTTTAACTCAAATCGAATGAGTTGAAAAAGGTCGGTTACAAAGTTTATATAAGTTAGGGTTGGGGAAACTTCAAAACGATTAAACTTGGACCATTGATTAAGGACATCCAAGAGGTAAAGGATTGTCAATATCCTAGCCCTTATCTCACAGAATAGCTGTCATATGAGGCTCTCATCTCACATAATAGCTATCATATGTGTAGATGAGATTTGCGACACCTTTATTCCCTCTAATCCTAATTCATTTCAAATTTTCCTCTTGAATTGCATTTCAATTTTAAAAACATCCATTCTCCAAAATCAAATCTAAGGGTCTAAATACTCTCTCTTGCTTTATCTCAAATTGAAGTTAAACTTTATGAAAAAACTCACATAATTCGCCAGCCTCGCACATAACATACACACATAAACATCCAGTTGTCCAATCAAACTTTCCCATCCAAAAAAAAAGCTTTTAAATTTAGGTTTTAATTGAACAAAAGACCGTATAAAGGAAATATCTTGACCCCAAATGACAAACCACATTTGTGCCACGTAATACACTTAAGACTAATCACAAATAAGAACACCCACCAACAGTGTCATAGGGATATAGCAACCTAGGGCCCCCACGTGAGCCGCGTCACTTGTGTGGAGTGGCGTGTTGGGGCAGCCATGTGAGCCACGTCACCTGCACGGAGTGGTGGGGCAGTTGTGCGCTGGTGACTGGCCACTTGGACGCCGCATGGTCGATACGTGTGGTTGTTCACATTGGTCTTTATGCCCAAATAAAATTTTAAAATTCTCAATTTTTCTCATAAAATTTTTTAAAAAAAATTATCAGAAGTCATAAAAAATATTTGCAACTATTCTCTGTCGTTTTGAATAAGTTTGGCATCTTAAAAAAATATACATGTGAGAGAATTTGAGATCTTATAAGAAATGAAATAGGGCACTTTACTTGGCTAGATCCAAAACCCTAATTCATTTTTCTCATATTGTTCCAACAAGACCAATGACCCACAAATTTTGCATGGGGCTCATGTCTGCTCATCAAAGCCAACCCTATAAATAAATGGCCAGATCCCGAATTTATTTTGGATTGCAGGTCTACGCCCAAATACAAGCACTCTGGTAAATGTGGGGGTCCTCTCTCTTAACATATGTACATGACTCTCTCAATTTGATGGAAAGAGTAGCTTTCCATTTATAGATATTTTGAGAAGGCCGGAGGTTAGGGATTTTGGCTTATGTCTTCTCAAAACCTGGCCGTGTCATAGTGCACACAGTAATACTCATAAATAAATAGCAATACTAAAATTCAGACACACCCCTGGCTCACACAATTATCAAGTATACTCACACCAAACCTCACTTGAAGAAACCCTCAAATCTCAAAATACAAAAGCCTCTTAAGCGCATGACTGCCTTGTAATCATCCAAACATTATCACATAACTTAGATATACTCAAGCAAATGAATGCTCAAACATCTGAATACTCAGAAATGCTCGTGCAGGGAAATACTCATAAATTGAAATGCATAGAAATGCTCATGTAGAGGCATACTCAGAAATGTCATAAACATGAATACTCAGAAATGCTAATGGATAGGAATGTTCACGCATATGCTCAATCACATTCTCTAAACATGCTTTACAAATGCCCTTACCAATAATCCTTTAGCAATGGGTCCGCATGCATAGCCTCAGTTGGAGATATAATGTAAGTCTACTTCACTGTCCTCAATGTCTTGTCTAATATGGTAAACAGTCTGCTCTTATGTGCCTAGACTTGCTATGAAATGTTGATTCCTTTGTTATACAAATTGCCATTTGATTGCACACATTATCCTCACAGTCCCACCTTTTGATGCTTCATAGTGGGATTGGTTCAAAAACATATTGATCCAACTAGATTCTTTAGTTGCTAATCAACACACAACTTATTCAGATTCCATTGTGGATAGGGCAATAATATTTTATTTCTTTAATAACCAAGATATGGCTCCCCACGATACACAAACAAGTAGCCTGAGGTGGATTTTAACTCAGACGTATCACCACAGAAATAGCATTCGAGTATCCAAGTATGGCTCAATCCGATGTTTCCCCATAAGTAAGTGAGTAGTTCACTATCCCTTTTAAGTATCCAAAAATCCTCTTAACAACTCTCCAAGTTCACTTGCGGGATTGCTTTAGAATCTTCCAATCATGCTCTGGGCAAAAGCTAGATCTGATCTAGTTCCTTGAGGTAAGTACATTAGGGGATCCTATGGCACTTCTATAAGGTACTCTTTCCATATATCTTTTGTCTTCCTCACTCTTAGGATGCTTGCTCAAATTCAACTTAGTTCTTCTCTCAATTGATGTGCTTATCACTCTTATCAAATTTTCGAAAGTCTTATTGCAATAGTTATCTTGTGAGAGGTGCATTTTCCGGGCATATCTCTCTTATAATTTTTATTCCCAATACCAATGACGCTTCTTCCATATTTTTCATGTCAAAGTTCTTTGAACTTTTGTTTGCTTTACTAGTCCTAGGGAATTATTGACAATTATAATGTCATTTACATAAAGTGTTAAGAACATCAACTCACTCCCGCAACTAATCTTCATCCACATAAACGTGTTGCCTTTTGTTCCTCTTTGTATTATCTTCAATAAGCTCCCAATCTATTTGGAGCATTTCCTATGCTTCAAATCATTTATTTTTTGTTTAAGTTTATCTTAGACTCTTAGATGAGTTAATATGATATGGAATTTTCAGATTAAAAAAACCCCCCCATGAATTTTTGACTAGAGGCCATGTATTAGTAGTGGTCTTGTGAGACCACTAAATATTTTCCCTTTTGATTCATTTGTCTGAAATGACAATGGAAATTCAGAAATGCTTCTTATTATGATTTTCTCATAGTTTGTCTAATTTTCATTTCCTTGGTTGCACCAATTAAGTCATAACCACGGTTCTTTAACTCTAATTAGACTTGTTTTTTTCTTCTTTTATTTTAAAAATTAATACTAGTTACGCATTGATCATTTTGAGGAACAATGGCGGTCATAAAACTTTCATAAATGTGTAAATTATTAAATAGTTAAAGTTTATCTGTCTTTTGATAAATGTGTCACGGTTTAATTCGTGGTCGGTGAAAAGTATTATGTCAATCGAGCGGTCTTTTCTAGACAACAAATTCATATTTCTAACCCACATTTTAAAAAGGAAAAAGTTCATATAGGGCTGCAAATTTCTATATTAAAGTAAGTTACAGCTGAAAAATCCTATAAAAGAGAGAGTTCTAGTTTTGAACAAACCTTCAATTGATTATCTTGATCTTAAGAAGCCTAGATATGAAGAAAAAAGAGAATTTTAAGTTCTAAAAATAGTACATCTTACGATATGTTATTTGAAACGTCTCTTTTTAATATTTTTTAAGTATTTATTAATATGCTTGAAATAATGTTGTTAGATTCGCTTCGGAGCCTTTTATTGGTTTGGTTGAAAAAAAAAAGCAATTCAGTGCTTCGACCGATTCGGAGGAAGAATTTAGAATTTGTAAAACTTTTAATATAAATAAAATCTATTTTTGTATAAAAAATATATTAATTTTTAAAAAAAAAAATAAAAAACACAAAAAAGATAATTACGTGCTTCAGCTGAAGAGGCCGAAGCTTTAGTCAAAGAGGCCAAATCTCATTGAAGCGGCCTAAGCAAGCTGAAGTAGGCACCAGAGCTTTGCTTCCCTTTGGTCTAGGCTAAAAATATGAAAAGTTCGATGCCTGCGGCCGAAACGAGCGAATTTGATAACATTGGCTTGATCTCTACCCTTTTAAAATTTTGGCTTGATATCTACCATTTTAAATTTATAGCTTGGCTTGATCTCTACCCTTTTAAAATTTTGGCTTGATATCTACCATTTTAAATTTATAGCAAGGAATAAAATAGATTTTCAGGCCATCATAATGTTCATGACACCTGAAAATATCTCTAAGCAATTTAACAAGGAGCACCTTATTTCAACAGAATAAGGAGGCCACATTATGCAAACCTTACCCTTAAAATAAAAAAACCATAGATATTGTTTTTGGAAAAATATGATGCAAAGTTGCAACTTTATATTATAGAAGTACGATGCACCTCAAAAATCCAGTACAAAAGATTTTAGAAGCAGGAAAACCTCATAATTGATTATCTCGATCTTGATACGTATTGATATAAAGAATAAAAAGGAAATATCAAGTCTTAAAAAATGTACATCTTATAACCAGTTATTTAGACCATCTATTTTCAAGATTTTTCAAGTGCTTATAGATTTACTAGACCTGCACTGTTTTTAAAATTTTAAATTTTATAATTACGATTGAACATAGATTTTCAAGCTATTGCATGGTTTCCAACACCAAAACTACATCTCCCAGCAAATTTAGAGGTGCCCTTACTTGTATAGTATATGACGTGCACTTTGTACAAAGCACGCCCTTATTCCTGTTAGAGAGAAATATACGATGGCTTTCTTGGAGGAGAACGCATGACAAACGTTTGCAATATTTTGAGTTGTTTACACTAATGAAGAAACACTAATTTGAGTCCCACTACACGAGGACACCATAACTTGACGGATAAACCTGATCTTGGGTCTGGATATGGATTCAAATTTTTGATCTGATACTATTGGGGTTTAGGTCTTGGTCCAGTCGAACCAGACCTATACCCGATACTATTCGGGTTTAGGTCTTTATATGTGTGCTAAGTATTTATATTGTCACAATATTGGCAATATTTATAATACTATTAACAAAAAAAAATCATGGTAATAGGGTATATGATGGTAAAACAAAAAAAAGCTAAAAAAAGAAGAAAAAGCTCATGATCATAGGGTGACAATGGATCCTACCAGATCTAGGATTCGATGAAGACTCGAAACCCGACCGGTTCAGGTATGGGTCCAAATCTTGGACCCGAATACTATTTGGGTCGGGTTGGGGTCCGGGTCCGGGCCGTACTTGACCCGTTTCCTCCCCTACCAAAACCTTGTCCTACGTTGGAACAACTTGTGTCTCATTCATGAAACGTATTGTTTTCAGCCATTGAAAGCCATAAAAAAGTCTTATCTCTCCAATGGAAATGTGAGGCTATAATCTCTCTGTGTCTCCATGGGGTCTTGCATAGAGATTGCAATGAGAAAGAAGCAAGAAGAAGAAGAGGCAGAAGTGGAAATATTGAAGGCAGTGGCACAAGCTTGGCATGGACACTCAGGCAACAACGCCAACGCCACAAGTGAATTGGATGCTCACAGATGCAATCACAAGCCCCGGCCTTCACGATTCAAGCTCGAAGCCATGAACAAGAAGTCCAAAGAGGAAACAACAACTTGGGATTTTGAGCAATCTCTATTGGATTCATATGAGATTGTCGCGGTCTCTAAGCGAATCGAATCAGGGCTTAACATGTCTCACGAACCGGCTCACCATGGCACGACCCATAAGAAGAGTAGGAATACCTTAAGGATGCTATTCTCTCAGGCTGCTTCGAAGCGATTGAACATCGAGCTCTTCAATGGAGGTGACCCAAAATTCTAGAGAAAGAGAGATCATTGGAAACTACTCACATGAGAAATAGAGGGGATTCCTTGGACTAAGAAAAAAGGAGAAATGCCATCTTAACTGAAATTTAATGGCTCAATTTTGTAAAGTTGTCCATGTAATTCAGAGGATCAAGTTAAGCTGGGTGGAGAAGTCCATGTAATTCACATGAATCTAAATTCCTTACTGGCATGTTTGGTATGCGTGAAAATATTTTCACGAAAGTATTTTCACTAAGAGAACTCCTCATGTGATAAGGTGTGGAAGTTTTTCACACCAATTGGTCCTAGTGCATTTTTTCACATTAATTGGCACCCAATCGGTATAAAAAAACTCTCACACCTAATCATATTGGTGAGTTCTTTTATGCAAAAGTACTTTCACAAAAATATTTTCACGCATACCAAATGTGCCCCGACATGCAAGATTTATGTGATATTTTGTAAAATGAGTTACCCAACATGGAATGCTATTTTGAAGGAAAATTGTTTGCTCTATGGCGCCATTGACTTGACAAAGAATTTAATTTTGGGCCTTTTACTATCCTTTGAGCATAGAATGAAAATTAGTTAGCATGTTCCCACTAAATTCATCATGCAAATATTTCAACTTTTCTAATAGGGCATCACCAGATACTTGAAGAGTAGACATTAATACCTTATAACAAGTAGACTAGCACTTGCAAATTATAGAAAGGAAGAAAGACAACAAAAGAGAGAAAAGTAACAAGACTAAGATTTATTTATTGCATCTGTAGTCCTCTAATGGAGTTTTGAGATTTAGGCCTGTAATCACCAAAATTAGCTTGCTGTCATTGACATTAGCTTCTCCATTTCTAACCTCTTATGCATATGCATAATATAGTCTCCTGCAGCTGCATCTATGCCATTGTCCCTCGGAATTCGAGTCTTCGGATCACTGTGGTGCACACTTCATTGCTTGGCCTCCCGAACACGTTCACCGTGGTCTGGAGATGGGACGTGCTCTTTGTCATTCTTATGGTGATCAGATCCTAGTTCTTCATGAGTACCAGTAGTATTGCGTTGGAAGAAGTCACATATCTTGTGGCCAGGGTCATATATGCTTGGTGTCCTTTCTAGCTGATGAATGTAACTACAGTAATCGTTTGAGCCCTGACCCTTCCCATGAGTAATGACATGGTGCCTTTGAGCACTAGTCATACCTGAAGGCGTCGACCTGGCTATCTATGTTTTGATCAAAAACTTTTTAAGGAGAGAGCTTTGGAGAGATGAACTATATAAATAGATATAGCCTCGTTCTATAAGATGATGAAAAGTTAATTTAGCATCTAATTCTGTTAGGTCAAGATGCTTTACTGTTACCATATTTCCCTCTTTTGAGATTCGTCTGGTGATATGGTTGTCACTTTAGAGAGAGAGAGAGAGAGAGACGATCATAGAATATGTTCTCTTAGTGATTTTGAGTATAAAGCTTCAATATTTCAATATCTAACCGGAGAGAGAGAGGGGATCATAGAATATGTTAGAAAAGTTCCAAGTACCTGTGATAACAAATATATATTAATAATATATATACTTATATATATATTAGATATAATATTTAATATAATATTTATTAGAATATATAATATAATACAATATATGATTTTATATATGATATTTTGGTGCAATTGGCATACGGATGCATCCGTAGCTGTAGAGGTAAAGTGCACCTTCAAATTTCCGTAGCGGTAGAGGTAAGGTGCACCTTCAAATTTTATCATGTTATATAATTTTGATGTAAAATATACTTAAGATTATCTCAAAATCTAGTTTTATATCTAATTATAAAATTTTAAATTTAAAAAATGGTTAAAATCAAGTAGATCTATAAACATATGAAAATCTTGAAAATGGACTGTGTAGATAATATGTTGTAAAATGCACTATTTTTTAGGCTTAAAATCTGTTTATTTTTCATTGTCATACATCTCGAGATGATCAATCAAAGGGTTTTTCAACATTAAAACTACCTTTTCCAATAGATTTTTGAGGTGCATCCATAGTTCTACATTATAAGGTTGCATCCTTATATAAACTTTGTCCATGAAATTTATAGAGTACTAGAATATACTATATAATATGACAATGATATAATATATGATATTTATATATCATATATAATATAATAAATATATATATTTCTATATACGTTTTATTAAGGGTATATTTGTATTAGATATACTATATAATATAACATTTATTAGAATATATTATAT